CAGAGTGGTCTCCTATTACACTAAGAGCGTCAACTTTTCTGTCAAAATTTTGGAGGGAAAAACCTCACCTGGAATATGGGAATGGGTTGTAGCGTAGAAGTTACATAAATTGCAGCCAGAACATCCTTGACATTGTCATTTGAGAGGTTCAAATGGAAGGTCATTTGAAAGCCATCTACAAGATTCGCTGGAACATTGTTTCTCAACTTCAGGAATATTAAGATGCATGGATTTCAATTCCCAAAACCTCTTGCACTGCATGCTTTCTGAGGAATTCTGGGAATGGAAGTCCTCTCTTTTTAAAGTTGCTGATCTTGAGAAATACTGCTCTAGAAAATAATTGCTATTCAGAGTAAGACATTCCTGGATAAGATGATCTGCCATGAAGAATTTTTTCCCAATGGGGAAATTTCCCAACCTCTCTCCCAAGCTGTTGTTGGTTCTTCTGGAAACTTGAATTTGGAAAAGACTTCAGCTATTTATATTGTTTACTAGCTCGATACCCGTGCTTTGCTACGAAACTATGTGGTCGGGCTTAGTTTTTGGGGAGGAAAATAAGGGGAAAATTTCTGCCTCTGCCCATCAGCATCCATCGGTATTCATCTGGCTAGCGTCCTGTCAGTGTGTGAGAGAGTTGAGGGCTGTTTGGAAACTGAAACAGTATTTTCTGTGTGAGCAAGAAGGAGACAGCAAGGAGCCTGGATGTGGCTTAGCTCAACTATACTGTACTAAAGCTGCTTGGTGCTGTGAAACCAAAACTGAAGCTCCTCTCCTCTGCTTGTGTTTTGCATTTGAAACAGATTTCTTTCCAGGTGGGGAGGGGGAGTAGAACTCCTTAGCATCAGACCGTGTTAATAATAATATATGAAATACTAATGCTCTGATGGTCATTTCGAAAAATCCTTTCTTAGTGAGCACTTAGAAGCGAAATTACATGCCAAATTTCAAGTTTGTAGGTGTTATGGTTCTGGAGATTTTACGATGATGCCTGAGTGGTATTTCACTTTTATATAGAGAGATTTCTCTCCCTTACAGCTCCTGGTGCCCATGCTTTCACAATATCTTGAGAAGCTTTCTGCTATTGTGGATAGCAATATCAATTGCAGCCCAGTTCTCACCTGGATGGAGGTGAGAGCATCTTTTGTTGACTGGGGTGAGGGTGAGGGGGGGAGAGAGAGATAGAAAACATGGCAACTTAATTATTTTATTAAACTTATATGGTTACCCAGTTCTATAGTAAGTGTGATAGTAACATCATCTAAGTGATTGGTGCTAGAGTTCCCAGAGGAGATTGAGTTTGTGGTTAGGTAGAAATGCCAAGGAATCAAAAAGCTTATTTTCTCCCCTGCTTTTTCATAAACCACATTCCCACCCCTTAGCAGTAAGCTGCTAAAATTTGCTAGAATAATTTTGGGTGATCACAACCTCCTCACTCCAAAAGATGACAAGGCCCTTATTTGATCTGCAACTTTTTCATCCTTAACGTAAAGCATATCTAACGGCTGATCCTCATCTTTGTCCAATTCATAAACAAATTTGTCTAATGTCTGTTCTGCTCTCTGCTCAAATGACATTTAGTCATTTGACTAAATCAGGGGACCCCAAACTTGGTAACTTTAAGACTTGTGGACTTCAACTCCCAGAATTCCATGCTGGCTGGAGAATTCTAGGAGTTGAAGTCCACAACTCTTAAAGTTGCCAAATTTGGAGACCTCTGGACTAAATAAGCACATACATATGATTCTCTTTGAGAAGCTGCAGTTGGCCCTCTGCTTACAACCATAATAGAGCCCAGAATTATGGATGTAAGCCCTGCCAGTTGTTAAGCGGGTCATACAATCCAATTTTATGACTTTTTTGTGGCAGTCATTAAGAGAACCCACTGCAAAACAACGCTGTAAATCGTTGCCACATAACTGTGGAACACTGCAACGGGCTGTAAATACAGACCAGTTGCCAAATGCCCAAAATGCAATCAAAGGACCACAAAGGGGACCTGGTCATTGTCGCTTCTAATCTGATGATAAGTGTCTTCTTTGCAGTCCATCATAACTTTGCATGGTCAACTAAGCAAGTGGTACTTAAACGAGGCCTATCTGACATCACAGCTTTTACTTATACTGTCTGGGAACGATGTAAGAAGTTTTTCAATGCATCTGTTGAGCACCAGATTATAGAAGGTGCTTTTGTGTATGAAAAGCATTGTGGGAAAACTAAACGAGGGCATCATTGCCATCCTGTAGATGGGAAAATATTTTCAGGGATAGCATACATTCCCCCCAGAGGTGGGATCTGACCAGGATAACAACCGGTTTGGGAAGTGCGCACATGCACGTCAAATGCTCTGCAAGCGCATGCGCATTACCAGCTCCGGCAAGCATTTACCTTCTTCGGCTGATGAGCTGCGCTGCGCAAAGCAGCTGAGGAGGAAAACGCAGCACTAAAGGACAGCCTAGAACCCAGGCGGGCAGGAGGGCCAAACAACAGACCAAAAGCTCGTCCCAGCGAGCAGGTTCACTGTGAGCTGCTCTTCGGAGCAACCGGTTCTATAGAACCAGACTGAACCGGTAGGATCCCACCCCTGATTCTCCCCAAGTTGAGCTGAACTCCTATTTTGAAAAGTAAAGTTGTCCTGCCGGAAAATATACGACAATCCTATACTTATTCTACAACCCAATTTTAGAGGCCTGGAATCCAAAGGACGTTCCAAAGCTGAACCCCATTAAGTTGACACCTTCCGGTTGTTTCATTTCAGCTTGATAATCACGGCAATCGACTCTTGGTGAATGAAGAAGCTTCTATCAATGTTCCTGCCATTGCAGCTGCTCATGTGGTTAAACGTTACACAGCACAGGCCTGCGATGAGCTCTCTTTCGAGGTGAGCCCTTCCACCAACACAACTCACCTGACTTCCAACAGCCGATCTTCGTAGGCTCATGGCTCTCTAAGCTTGTTAGGCAAACTACAGCTCCATCTCTATTCCTTGATAAAAAGCTATTTGGACATCCGTTTTCTGTTCTTTAGCAAAAAGAAAGCAACACTCTAGTTCAGGGGTCGGCAGTCCGTGTCTCTAGAGCCGCATGTGGCTCTTTCGTCCCTCGGCTGTGGCTCCTGTTGTCTGTCGGCTCCACAATTGATAGGGCTTTTGGTTAGGACAAGTAGAGGAAAAAGGACACCATGGTAGGAGGAGACTCTATGATGGGGGAACCGGACTTCCGGTCGGCTCCAGAATTGAATGGGGGACTTCTGGTTAGGACCTTTGTGGCTCTTTGAGTGTTTAAGGTTGCCGACCCCTGCTCTGGTGCAATGTTTATCAACCTTAGCAGTTTTAAGATATGTGAACTTCAACTCCCAGAATTCCCCAGCCAGCTTCAGTCCTCAACTTAAGACCATAATTGAGCCTGAAATTATGGTTGTAAGTCATTGGAGTCGCTCAGTGGGTCACCACATAACTGGACCTGATTTTATTATTATTTTTTTCAAGTTGTTGTTAATTGAATGCTGTGGTTTTTAAGCCAATCCATCTTACTCAATGGGTGTTTTTGCCAGAAACTGGAAGTAAATGCCAGTCACCGGCAAAAAAAAAAACCCATCAAAAAATATGTGACTGTGGAAACTGCTAATGGCCATAAAGGTGAACTGGTTGCCTAGTGCCCAAAAATGCAATTACATAACCACAGTGGATGTGTGGTTGTTGTAACTTCAAAATCAGGGTTGTGGGTAGCTTTTGGCTGGTCCTTTGTAACTTCAAATGGTCATTAAGTAACCTGTCGTAAATCAAGGTCTATCTGTAGATTATTTTTCTTATTTGATGGGTTGGCAGTAAACTGGAATCCATCTGCATGATGTTGAATCTCTCGGCATGGTATGTATCAGTGGTGGCTAACCTTTTTGGGCTCCTGTGCCAAAAATTGTGCATGTGCTTGCAGTCGCGTGCCAGCACCCAGAAAGCAATGCGCCCCCCCCCACGCCCCCTACACATGCACACGTAACCCCCACTCACTCACCC